AGTTGAGAGATTATGGTGCATTCAGGAAATAGGAAGTGCTGTCTTGGAGAAGAGGGTGGGGCAGAGAGAAGACAGAGAACGTAGCAGAGGCGCAATCACTCACAGTCAGCATCAGTGAGGGCTACTGAAAGTTTTGAGCAGGGGACTGCTATCATCAGACTTGGAAATGCTTCAGGATGGCGCCTGCCTTGGAAGAAGGACAAGAATAGGTGGAGGGAGACGAGGTAAGAGGCTTTTCAGTAATCCAGGCTAGAGATGGTGATGGCCTGAATGAGGGTAGTGGCAAAGGAGATATTTAGGAGATAGAATAATAGAAGAAATAGGCATTCGTTTAATAAATACCTATCAAACACTTGGTATGTTTGAAGGACTGTTCCAGGCAGTGGGGATACAGCAGTAAACAGAATACATAAAAACTACTTCCCTTGGGAAGCTTATGCCCTAGGGGCAATGGGGACAATAAAGAAGATAAAGAAGCAAAATGCATAGCATACACCGTAGCGATGAGTGCCAAGGGGAAAAATAGAGACCGGGGGAGAAATGGGATCTTGCAGGGTATGTCTGTGTAGGCGAGGTTGAAGTTTTAGGTACGGAGTGAGAAGTTCTGAAAAGACTTAAGGAAAAAGACTTCAAGGAAAGAGGGAGCTAGCCATGTAGCTATCTGGAGGAAGAGCATTCTGGAGAGGGAGCAGTAAGGTGCAGAGGTCTTGAGATGGGAACATGTCTGGTGAGTTGAGGAACATCAAGGGGAGCAGTGTGGCTGGAGTGAATTGAAAGAGGGTGAGGGTAGTGTGATGGTTAGTTTTATAGGTCAACATGGGGAGGCTATAGTTCCCAGTTCTTCAATCAAAGTGATCTAGGTGTTGCTATGAAGATATTTTGTGGATGTGGTTAACACTTATAATCAGTAATCTTTAAAAAAAATTATTCTTGACAATGTGGATTGGCCTCACCCAATCAGTTGGAAGGACTTGAAAGCAAAGCTGAGCTTTCTCTGTGCTAGACTGGATGTTTGTGTCCATTCGAGGTTTGTACGTTGAAACCTAATCCTCACGGTAATGGTATTTGGAGGTGGGGCCTTTGGGAGGTGATTAGGTCATGAGAGCAGAACTCTCATGAATGGGATTAGCAGCCTTATAAAAGAGATCCCAGAGAGGGCCGCTGCCTCTTCTGCCATGTGAGGACACAGCAAGAAAACAGGCTGTCGGTCTGTGAACTAGAAAGCAGGCTCTCTCACCAGATAGCGAGTTTGCTGGTGGCTTGATCTTGGACTTCCCAGCCTGTGGAACTGTGAGGAATAAATTTCTGTTGTTTATAAGCCAGCCGTCTTTGGTATTTTGTTATGGCTGCCAGAACTAACTAAGATACCCTGAGTAAGAAGATTACCTGCCTCCAGACAGCAGCATCAGCTTCTGCCCGTTTCCAGCCGGCCGGCCTCCCCTACAGATTTCAGACTGGCTGGCTTCCCACAAACACCTGAGCCAATTCCGCAACGCCTTGAAATACATTTCTCTGTCTGTCTGTGTGTACATATATAAAATCTCCTACAGGTTCTGTTTCTCTGGAGAACCCTAAGGCCGGTAGTAAGGTAGTGGGTAAGAAGACTGGATTACATATGGCCTTGTAGGTCACAGAAAGGACTTCAGCTTTAAGTTCTAGATGAGAAGCTAATGGAAGATTTTGAGCTGAAGCGTGACATGATCTCATATTTTAAAGAATCATTCTGGCTGCTGTGTTGGGAATAGCACAAAGGGCAACAAGAGGGGATAGTGGCTTGGATCAGGGTGGTAGCAGCGGGGATGATAAGAGGTGATAGAATTCTAGATATACTTTCAAGGTAGAGCAAACAGAATTCTTTTTGTAACGGACGTGGGGAGTGAGAGAGAGGAATCAAGGATGACACTAATTTTTTTTGGCTTGAGCAACTGGAATCAACTGGGTCAAAAACATCACAAACTCAGGAAATACAAATGAGGGAACGGTGACTGATCTGGACCGTGTGTGGTGGGGATCAGAGGATTTTGGTGAGGTGAGGGTGAGGGGAAGGAAGGAGGCAGGTGTCACCCCAGGGTTTTGGCTTGGACGCTTGTTAGAAGTGCCGTTCTCTGTGAGGGAACACAGACGGGGTAGAGAAGATGCTAGGTTTTGCATGTGTTGATCATAAGACATTTATTTAACTGGAACTGGAGGTTATCCAGGAGGTTATCCAGGAGATTATGTAGTCTGATTCGATCCTTTTATAGACGAGGAAACAGACTCCAGAAGAGCTCTCTTGAATTAGATTGTCCAGTGCTCTTTTTGCAGTACCAGGGCACCTGTAATTGCAGGGAAGACTATGAAAGTAAAAGGCACTTCTCCCTAACTCTGAGGTTGGCCCAGTCGTCCCTAGATAAAAAACAAAAAAACTTCAGTAGTCAGATTGGCTCTAAGGTCAAACGGGAATTCCTATCTGTTTTGGGGAAGGATGTGGTGTCCAGTGTAGATTAAGATTATCTCAATATTTTCAGGCTTAGCATCTCGATTTCAGGAAACTTTAGACTGTGGTGATGTTGGACCAGGCCAGGCTTGACCTTTTTCAGGTGGAATAATTAGGCATCTGCATCGTAGCATTTTATTCTACGTTAAAATAATTCCTAGATTGAATAGCTTCGATTGCCATCAGAGATTTTCATTGGCTGACTTGGGAATATTGTTTAAATAAGAAGGAAAGCTTGGGTAAAAGGAACTGGAGGGTGTTTAGGGCAATGGCTCAACTCTCCACGAGTTCCACTGAGGATGTATGATAGTGAGGTCAGCAAACTTGGGTTCAAATCCTTAGCTGGACTTCTAAGTAGCTGTGTGATTTTAGGTGTTTGTTGAACCTCTCTGACCTAGGTATCTCATCTGTTAAATGAGGATAATGATGTCAGACAACACAGAATTGTTTAAGGGAACAAGTCTGTCACCCAGCCTGGGAGAGGAGGATCTTAATTGCTCTCATTCCCCACAGTAGAATCCTTATTAGCGATTTACTCTCTAGCCAAATTGGTATTGAAGATGTACTGAGGGTCAGTTTTAACCCTTTTCCTTTGCCTGTTCCCCCACTCTTTCTAACCCACAGTTCCATGAAAAAGAGTAGATTTCTGGCAAATGAGAATGGTGGCATGGGGTCGGGGCGGGCAAGTGTTTCTGAAGGTAAGCATGGGAATATTCTCAAAGGGAATAGGAGAGAGGCCAGTGAGTCCTAGTAGTCCCATGGCAGGGCCCCAGGGTGACAGCAAGGGCTCATAGGAAGGCTTTATGGTGTGTCCAGGGAAGGCGGGTTTCCTGGCACAGTCAGGATTTCTGTACCCTGCAAAATAGAGAGCTATCTGTCATCAAGGTCCTAGGGTAGGACCACAGAGGACCATGATGGTTGACAACTAGGAGTCTTTTCCCAATTACCCCAAGACTGTGTAAGCCTCTTTGATTCTGGTGTGACCCTCAGAAGTGGCTCTATTAATGGCTGAGATGGATTTTCTCACTAAATTGTTAGAAGTGGGTTCAAAGTTAGGATTAACTTCATTCAACTAACAGTTAAAAGTTTTCAGATTTAAAGTCACAGCAGTAATTGCCTGATGCTGGTGAACTGGGGCCAACTTTAAAAAAATGCAGAGAACAAAATTCAGAACCCCTACAGCATTCATTTGCCTCCCAGCAGAGTAGGGCTCTAGCTTCTAGGTTCTTCTGGGTTCCTCCTTACTACTGCTGTGTCCACAGCTAGGTCAAGTCCTTCAGCAATGCCTACTACGCAGGATCGCTGGGGCATTCAATGGCAAACTGTGTCTAGCATGCGGCTAACATTCAACAAAAGGGACTGATTACCATTCTGTCAGCATAACATCCAAGAAGTAGTATTTATTTCTCATAATGGTTAACGCCAAAGTTCATCCAAGCATTAATTTCAGACAAGTGTGTTAAGAGCCGAAACATGTTTACTGTGAAAAGAGGAAAGTTATCAGTACACTTTGGGCCTCAGCTATTTCACTGGAGTTTTCCTAACGGTTTTCTCGAAGCCTACTTCATTGTTCCACTTGGCAAGCTGGAACCGGTATGACTTCATTGAAAGAATAAACAATTATATCTATTTCAAAATGAGTTAGAGGCTCTCTTTAACAGACTCTCTATCTTCTAGAGCCATCCTTGGCTAACAGGATAGGGTTTAGGTCAATCTATAAACTCTGTGGCAATTCACAGATACTCTCGTAGAGACTACTAGAATGTGGCTAATGTATGGAGAGGAATCTAAATTACATAACTCAAACATAATGATGTTTTGGAAAGAAGGCATTTTTGACTCAGATATGTATTTACATCAACTAAATGTAGAATATGGTCCAACAGCAATAGTATTTTGATTCTCTGTATTAGAAGAAGGTAGTTGATGGGAAAGAGGGAGAAATTTATGGTAGGAATGACACCTTCTGTGAAATTTTCTTATATGTTATAGAATCTATATCATAACCTTCCTTCAACGGATCATACGGTGTTTATAATCTATAGTGGTCCTCAGAAGCCTACTTAACTTATTCACTAAGTCAGGTGTTTATGACAGTATCTGACATGTGTTGAATAAATGTCAGTTTCTGCTTAGAAACTGGATCAAAATCTTTTACCAGAAAGTTTCTGAACCTAAATGTGGCTCATTCACTACAATGCACAGTGGTCAGTGATTCTGATTAGTATGTTTTCTGAGTGTGAACTTTCTGATATAAAGACCAAAGTTTTTTACTTCGCATCTACGTATCTAACAAAGTCTTGAAAATAGTTTTCTTTAATTGAAATCCACCAAACTACTTATTTTATCAATTTGTAGGTCTGCTCTTATAGTCTCATCTCACTGAGTCTGACTCACATCCAAGAAACTTCTAGACACTAAAAAAAAAAAGGATAAAGACCTTTGATTACATAATCCATTTTCCTTTAATTCGAAGGTTAAGTCATGTTCTGTTTAAAAAAAAAAAAGATGGAAACACCAAAAGTTTAAGTTCAATCCATTTATTATTGTTGCCATTTATGGGTACATTTCCCAATTCTCTGCCTCAAATCCCAATGATTCTTTTATATTTGCAACACATGTCCATCTCTAGTTTCCTTGTGCTGAAACATTTGGCATTGAAATGTGAGGTATGTCTCAGAAAACACATGTAATGTGTAGGATGAAATGTTTAAGCGACATTTCTTACATCTCATGAAATGCATGGTAATGCCACTAGATTCAGTCCTTCATTATATTTAGAGAGCTTGAAGTTTCTGTTTCATGTAGAATAGAAAAGGAAACATGTAAATTACATAAAATTTAAGTGTAATTAAACATAAAAATGTCTTAAATATTGATAGTACAAATTTTGCAAAGCCTTCAGATGAACCACAAAATCTTGGAAATTACTGTAAAACTGTTCGTGTTGTTCTTCTCCATTTTCCATAAGGCCAATTCCTAAGATATTTCTCTCTTTGCATCATATGAAGTTAGCTTTCAGCTAAAGAGCAAGTGGTAAGAAACGAGGACTGCCAGAGCCTCAAAAGGGGATATTGAAGAAAACAAGATAGTTAGGAAAAGCGGAAGTCCAAACATTAAAATTCTGATTAATGTTAGATGAAATCAACTTAAACCTGGTAAATCAGTTTCCAAAAAACCAGGAATTTATTCTCCTTTAGTTTTATATCCAATCACTGCATCAAACTTTATATCCATCTTTCGTTTTAAAATTGCCAAGAAACGCTCAGGAAAGATCCTAAAAGAAAGATGCATGAAAATAATCAGGAAATTAATATTAAGAGCATTTGTAAAATATCTTCTTTTAAAATACTTACATTTATCATGTCCATGTTCATCTTAAACAAGATTAAGAACTTTAACTCGGAGTCACTACTATATGTTCTTCCAATTAAATCCATTTCCTTTTCAAAAGGAAAAGGAAGGGGATTTAACCTGCTTCAGGGTAAGAGTGACTTGAAATATTTAGATTTTGAAATAAATATCTCCTACATTTTTCAGAAGATCTAAGAGAGGAGATATATATATAGAACTGAATAGTTGAGATGCTAAAGGCTTCCGAAAAAAGAAACCTGAGATAGGAAAGGAAGTGAGACTAGGAACTAATTTTATACTTCATAATCCAGAATATTATTAAAATATTCCACTAAGAGACTGGGGAAGCAGAATTGCTACATGAAAATGCAGGAGATGCTCTTCATTTTGAGCACAATGCGGAACATATTTAATTCCTTTAAAATGCCTCGCATGTAAACAGAAAAATTAACACCCACCCCACAGTGTTCTTGTGAAGAATCAATATATTAATATAAAATGCCTTAAACAGTGATAGACACAGAGTAGGTCTATTTTTTTCTCCCCACCTATACTTAAGAATATTGAGGAACTCGTCACATATCAATGAGTCTGAAGGAAACTAAACAGAATATGTAAGTCAGTGTAACTATACATGGATATCTGCCTTGACGCCATTAAAATAAGGTTTGGAAATTGAACACCAAACATTCATAATCAGAGGAAAATTAGTGTAATGATAACAATAGTGGCAATTATATTAATAACAGTGGCCTATAGTATTTATTGAGTCTTTATAGTATACTGAATACTTTAAATGCATTATTTTATTTATTCCTCATAGCCCTATAAAGTCTTATTGTTGTCTCCCTTTGACAGATGAAGAAACTGAGCTTCCAAGAAGTGAAATAACTTATCCAAGTTCATGTTGCATGCGAGTCACACAAACACAGCTCCATCTAACACTAGAGCTCAAACTTTGAGTCTCTATGTTAAAGGCCTAGGAAAGAGGATCAATTTATTCAATCGACAAACATTTTGGTGACTCCTATGTGTCCATCAACTCTTCAAAATGCAGGAGATATATTGCTAAAAACCAGGCAGAATTCCTTCTCTCACAGAGTCGCATTCTAAAGGGCTGTAAGCACTGAGGCTTGCTGATGTGATGTGACAAGTATTCACAGGTTTTAACTCAGTTATTCACCACGGAGACCCTTGAGCTTCACTACCTAAACCTCTAAGGTATGCTCAACCATAGTTTCTAGCAGAAGGGGCTAAAAAGCCTGACACATGTCACTTAGGCCTTTGATCTCTTAAAGTTTTTCAGTCTCTGGGTCAATAATTCTCAAAGTATGATTTTTTTTTTTTTCTGGTCAGGAAGATTGGCCCTGAGCTAACATCTGTGCCAATCCTCCTCTATTTTATGTGGAATCCTGCCACAGCATGGCTTGATAAGCAGTGTGTAGGTCCGTGCCTGGGATCTGAACCCACAAATCCTGGGCCGCCAAAGTGGAGTGTGCGAACTTAATCACTATGCCACCAGGCTGGCCCCACAAAGTATGATCTTTGAACCAACTGCCTGTGGTTGTTGCCTGTTAAAATATAGACTTCTGGGTTCCAACTTAAACATCCTAAATTAAAATCTCTGGAGGTGAGATCCAGGGATCTATTTTTTATTTTTTTTAATTAATTAATTTATTTATTTTTCTGCTTTATCTCCCCAAACCCTCCTGGTACATAATTGTACATCTTAGTTGAAGGTCCTTCTAGTTGTTGGGATCTATTTTTTAAATTGACCTGACAAGTGATCCTGACACCTGCCATGTGGGAGAAGCCTGACTCAAGGGACAGGCAGCAGGAGGCTTTCTTTTTCCGTCTAAGGCACCTCTTCTCTTTCCCCTTATTACCTGACCGGCCTCATGCCACGCAGCTTTCTCAGATGAGCAATGAGGCAATGAGCTGTGAAGAGGCACCCTTTAAACCAATGGTTTCCAATCTTGGTTGGACATTAGAATCACCAGGAAAGTTGTTGCATCTCTCAGAGACCAGGCTACATCGCAGACCAATTACATCAGAATCTTGGGGAGTAGGTCTCAGGTATTAGCCTTTTTAAAACTCCCAGGTGAATTCCAACGTGCACCAAAGTTGAGAGCTGCTGTTCTAAAGAAATGCTTCTCAAATTTGCATATGCACACAAATCGCCTGCAGATCTTATCAAAATGCAAATTCTGATTCAGGAGTTCGAGAGAGTCTGTATTTCCAACAAACTCCCAGGTGATGCTGACGCTGCTGGTCCGTGGACCACATCTGAGGTAGCAAGGCTCAAGGATCTCTAAAATTATGATAGATTATTTAGCAATTTCTTTGCTTCCATGTGATTTTGCACAAAATAAGAACCCAGTGGTTATCTGTTGTATATTTAAATGAACATCTAAAACCTAACAATAGTCTGCTCCAATATCGTTGTCCTATGATTCCTTTATGTAGTAATGCTTAAGAATTATCCTTATTCATATTCATTCTTTTATAAGACAAAACTTCCAGAAATATACACATTTCTTTCTTTTAAAAAAAAAACACTTTAAAACTTGTGGAAATTATTCAGTTCATTTACCCACCTGCTATATCAATCTTGCTTCAATGATTAACAAATATGGCTTTAAAAATTGATGGATTCTTTAAGCCTATTATTTTTATTAACTTAATTCCATTTAATTGTACTTTATCAAATGTCTGGTTTTAAGTCTGACTGAACACACGTAATAGAAAAAGCTTTATTTATAATGCTGTCAAACATAGCTGTCGCTTACCTTTCCAGCAGTGTTAAAAAGCGTATGGAAGATGGAACAAAAATCATTTTCTGCTCAGTCAGGATCCCATTTATCAGCTTGACTACCACTTCCTCAGGTTCCAGTGTGGGTCCCAAACTGAAATCAGAAGCAGTTTTCAGAAACAAAACATTTCCCTGAGGCTTCAGCTTTAGTTTGGCGCTAAACAAATGAGTTAAATTACTATAGGAACCAAAACATAACTGCCTTGCAGCGTCCAGCCCACCGTCGGTGCTCAAAAACGGCAGCTGCTTTAGCATTAACACGAACAACAACAACAACAACAACCATTTATTTAGTGCTTATCATGGACTGCACACCGTGCTGAGCATTCCACACAGGTTATCTCACTGAAGTTGTACTCAACCCTATGAAGGAGATACTATCGTCCCTATTTGGCAAGTGAGAATTACGGAAGTAACTAGGACCAAAAAAATACTTTAGCTAGATTAGGACTGACAGACTCACTTTTAAATCTTTAGAAGTCTTGGGAAAGAAGTCAGATATCATTATATAAGTTTTATTATATACTAGGACTGTTTAGTGAAAAATTTCTAAAGTGTCAGCGGAATTAAAATATATAGGAATGTGCCCGGCTCTAGGTCTGATCTCCACATGGAATGCTTATATTCATTAGGTCTTCATTTAATTTTCAGCTTTGTCACTTAGGTCCATGTTGCATCTTCACTGTGTAATCACTCTGGCACATGCACTACTGAGTAGCAGGCAGCCCCTAACAAGTGGCCTTTGTTACTTGGGTGTTAGAATACGTGCACTGAGGACAGAGTTGCACAGGAGTTGCTCCTAAGTTTTCAACATTTTATTAATGACATAGAAAAAAAGATACATAATTAACTATACTCATGAAATTTGCCAACGTCACCAAACTGTTTGGGTGACGAACATTTTCGGGAGGCAGACTCTAAATGCGTATGACTAGTTTAGGGAAGTGAGACAAAAAGAACCAGATGAGAGTCTTTAGGAACAAATACGGAATAGTTAATTGGGAAAGAAAGGAATATGCAGTAAAGTAAAATTGGGACAATTGGGAGGAGTGCAGTATTGTACTTAAAAGTGAGCATGATAATTGAATACGCGAAGGAGAGCAGAGCTTAAAGTATATATGAATAATCCTTCATTCTCAGCATAGGTCAGTCATTTATTAGAATACCGTGTTCACCCCAGGACCCCGAGGTAACAGTATTACATATGAAAAGCTTGGCGATGTGACAGGAGAGGAAGTATAATAATAACAGCGCTGGCTTTTGGCCCAATGGAGGCAAAAATGAAAGGCAATGGAGGCTTGAAGACTAATCGTCCTTTAGCGTCTGGCACAGACAGGTAATGGGTGTCAAGGAAGATGAATCTAGAAACTGGAGGATGCTTGTGCCTTGAAAAGTGTTCAGAAGGCAATTAACTTTCTAGCATGTTGCTGCCAGACTTCAGTATTCCCACATCCCATGAAACCTCACCAACACCTGTGTAAACAGTACAGCACACTTCCTCATTCACACTGAGGCCTCGCTAACCCGCGAACCAAGTAGTGCTGCATTGACTGAACTTTTCTTAGTGGACTCCGTCTCCTTACCTAAAGGTCTTAGCCTCTGTCAGAGGAATTTTTATCAAATTTAATGGCTGTCCAATATCATGATTTCATTTTATTTTTATTTGTTTATTTATTTTTCGAGGAAGATTGGCTCTGAGCTAACTACCACCAATCTTCCTCTTTTTGCTGAGGAAGACTGGCCCTGAGCTAACATCCATGCCCGTTTTCCTCTACTTTATATGTGGGATGCCTACCACAGCATGGCATTTGCCAAGCAGTGCCATATCTGCACCCAGGATCCGAACCGATGAACCCCGGGCCACAGAGAAGCAGAATGTGTGAACTTAACCGCCGTGCCACCGGGCCGGCCCCTAATATCATGATTTTAAAAAGACCAAAAGAAAAGGCTTCAGAAAAAATTCAATTTCTTGCAGAATAAAATATTAACATTAAAATGTCAGTATGTGAAAATATTTTTCCTTTGACAGTCTAATGTTAACAAGAGTTGCAAATCCTATTCAGTAAATGTTCATAAAGGATTTTGTAGAAACTATCCAAAAACACTTTGGGCCAATCTCTTGGGGTGGGGAAGGAGAATGCATGTGGGGGCGTAGGAATACTTAGGGGAAAGGATTTTCAGGTAGAAGGACTTGGTTTGATTATCTAACTTTTTTTACTTAAGTAGCTGAGTAATTTTGGGGACGACATCTCTACTCTTTCAAGCTCAGGTTTTTGTTTTCGTGTTTAATCTGAAAAACAGGGATAATGCAGTGGTGTGCTGGTAAATGTTTAACAACTGGCTCTCCAGGGACAGAATTACCAATTTTGTAGCATTTTCCAATTTCTATGGTGTAAATCCTCCCACCATGGCCAATTTCAAGCTACCAACAACGGCTTCACTGAAGGAGTACCAGCCAGCTTCAGTGTCCCACTGGTAACATGATGGTTAAATGGGAAATGTACGTGTAAGTACTTTATCCAGTTATACTGTACAAATGTTACTTGTCACCTCCTTAAACATCTTCTTTTTCATTGTACTAGACAATAAAAACTAATATCTTTCTGAGGCACACAAAAAAACTAAATTTTGAGAGAAAATAAATTTTGATATGTATATTACATGTAGGAGAGTAGACGTTTTAAAAGGATGTTCAACAAAAATAATGCTTGGCTGTCAAAAAAATTAACCAGAACATCCAATTACACATAATCGAATCCATTCAGATTATGCTGCATTGTTTATATCACTAACTGGAAAGAAAGAGATGACTTATTTGAAGGAAAAACATTAATTAAAAATTATTCATATACCTAACAAGAGAGCCCCAAAATACATGAAGCAAAAATTTACAGAATTGAAGAGAGATATAGACAGGTTAACAATAAGAGCTGGAGACGTTAATCCCACTTTCAACGATGGATTGAAGAACTAGACAGAAGATCAACAAAGAAATCGAAGACCTGAACAACAGTATGAATCAGCCAGACCTGAGAGCATCCATGGAACACTGCACCCAACAGCAGCAGAATATGTATTCCTCTCGAGGGCACAAGGAACATTGTCCAGGACAGACCATACGTTTGACCACAAAACAAGCCTCATTAAATTTAAAGAGACTGAAATCATACAAAGTACGTTCTCCAACCACAATGGAATGAAGTTAGAAATCAATAACAGAAGGAAAACTGGAAAATTCACAAATATGTGGAAATTAACCAATGGGACAAAGAAGAAATTAGAGGAAATTAGAAAATACTTTGAGATGAATGAAAAAACACAACATACTAAAATTTATGGGATTCAGGAAAAGCAGTGTTCAGAGGGAAATCTATAGCTATAAACACCTACGTTGAAAAAAAGAGATCTCAAATAACCTAACTTCCCACCTTAAGAAACTAGGAGAAAAAGAACAAACTAAACCTACGCCAAACAGAAATAAAGGAAATAATAAAGCAGTGATAAATGAAATAGAGAATAGATAACAATAGAGAGAATCAATGAAATCAAAAGTTGGCTCTTGGAAAAGATCAACAAAATTGACAAACCTTTAGCTAGACTGACCAAGAAAAAAAGAGAGAAGATAAAGTATTAAAATCAGGAATGAAAGTGAGGACATTATTACCAACCTTACAGAAATCAAAAGGATGATAGACATACCTCAGAGATACTGCAGGTTTGGCCCCAGACTACCCCAATAAAGCAAATATCACAAGAAAGCAAGTCACATGAACTTTTTGGTCTCCCAGTGCATATAAAAATTATGTTCACACTATACCATAGCCTATTAAGTTTGCAATAACATTATGTCTAAAAAACAATGCACAACCTTAATTAAAAAATCCTTTATTGCTAAAAAATGCTAACCATCAGCGAGTCGTAATCTTTTTGCTGGAGGGGAGTCTTGTGAAAAACGCACTATCTGCGAAGCACAATAAAATGAGGTACGCCAGTACAAGAGAATACTATGAACAACTTTATGCCAAAAATTAGATAACCTAGATGAAATGTATAAATTCCTAGGAACACACAAAGCACCAAAACTGACAAGAGGAAACAGAAAATCTGAGTAGACTTTTAATAAGAGATTAAATCAGTAATCAAAAAACTCCCAGCAAAGAAAAGCCCAGGACCAGATAGCTTCATTTTGAACTCTATCCAAACTTAAAGAATTAATACCAATTCTTCTCAAAGTCTTTCAAAAAACAGAAGAGGAGCAAACTCTTCTTAACTCATTCTGTGAGGCCAGAATTAGTTACTAAAGTCAGACTAAGGTACCGCTAGAAAACTACATAGCAATGTCGCTTATGAATGTCGATGCAAATATTCTCAACAAAACACTATCAAACCAAACTAAGCATCATATTAAAAGTATTACATAGCATGGCCAAGTGAGACTTATTCCAGGAATGCAAGGTGGTTGACCATATAAAAACCAATCAATGTAATATACCAGATTAATAGGATGAAGGAAAAGCCCCACATGATCATCTCAATAGGCACAGAAAAAGCATTTGACACAATCCAACACCCTTTCATGGGAAAAAAAAAAAACCACTCAACAAACTGGGAACATAAGGCAACTTCCTTAACCCAATTTTTATAGGCACTTGTATGATGCAGTCTGATTTGTATAAGCAAAGTCGAATAGAGAAGATAACAGGACTTATTAAATAGGAAAAGATGATGTCAACCTTTCCAATGATCAAAAAGAACCTGACATAGAAGTACTGTTTTTATCCTATCATACTGGCAAAAATTAGAAGTGTGCTAATATTTAAAGCCGACAAAGGTGAGGGGAATGGGCACTTGATCCCCTGCCGATGGGAGGAAAAATTAGGGCAGCCCTTCTGGAGGGCAATCTAATAAATCTACCAAAAGTAATTAAGTTCCTACTGTTTGATTTGGCAATTCTGTTTCAAAAAAACAATCATAACAGAATGGTTAGAAAAGTGAGCAAAGATACAGACACACACATACATATATACATACATGTACATATAATATGAATATATAAATACATATGTCTGTACGTATACATGCACACACAAACAAGAATATGCACTTATTACAATAATGAAAGATTTGATATCTAAATGTCCATCAATAGAGAAGATGTCTACCCAAAGAGTGTTAGGCTAACATTAAAAAGAATAAAGTAAGGTAGCTCTCTATATATCAACACAGAAAGCTGACAACAGCACATTGTTAAGTCAAAAAGGCAACTTCCAGAATAGTATGTACGTTCCCATGTAGCAGAAAAAGAAATGCATTAAATTAAGAAGTATAGCCTCTTAAATTGGAAAGCTGTAATTGGAAATCTAATTTTTCAGTAAAGTTGTTATCTCTGGAAGAGTAGCATCTTTGAGGGGACTTTTCTCTATATTACTTAAATTTTGTTTATAATCATCATATACTATCAGAAAAGCGATAAAGATATTTCCAATGAAATATTTAATATACATTTTTAAAATGATGATTCTCAGGAAAGAAATTTCAATTAAAAATTTGTGTTAAAAAATAAAGCTAGGAATAGCGTGGCATTTGGAGTCAAGGACCCAGGTAGGAATTCCAGTCTGCCACTTTGGGGCCGTGGGACCTTGGGCAATTTTCTTTACTTCTCCAAGTTTCAGCTTCTTTGTCTGTAAAATGGGCATAGCAAGACTTATCTTGCAGAATTGTTATAAGGATTAGAGCAGGGGTAGGTAAACTATCCCCCGGGCCAAATCTAGCCCTCCTGGATGAGAGATTAGAGGTGGTTTATGCAAGGTATTAGACCTACTGGGGTACGTGGTAATTTAGTAGGCCTTCAATAAATGCTTTTTTTTCTTTTTTGAGGAAGATTCGCCCTGAGCTAACATCTGTGTCCATTTTTCTCTACTTTATATGTGGGACGCCTGTCACAGCATGGCTTGATAAGCGGTGCGTAGGTCTGCACCCAGGATCTGAACCAGCGAACCCTGGGCCGCCAAAGTCAAGCGTGCAAATTTAACTGCTATGCCACTGGGCCGGCACCAATAAATGCTTTTAATAAAACGATTTCTTGATATCCAAGTTTGTTTAACAAAAATAACTCAGCTGTCAAAAAAAATTACTCAGAACACCTAATTACACTTAATTCCAATAACTCAGGTTAATGCTGCATTATAACCTTCACAGTAAACTCACTTCTTTGCAAAGTGTTAGATGTGTAAATATAAGAATCAATAAGCTACATGTCTGATGTGCTTTAAAAGTGAATTTAAGTTCCAACATTAATATGATACAAATTATTTTGAGTCAGTCATTTAGAGGTTGGTTCAGCTTCCTCCTTTCAGAAAGGCTGTCCCCGTGTAAAACGGGAAAAGTTTAGTCTGAATCTCAGCTCTTCTACTTATGGGCAAATTACTTTGTCTTGTGAAGCAAAGTATTCTCATGAGGTTTAAGAAAATTATGGAATTTATTTAGTGTCCAAAATATAAATCAGAGTAGGATCTCTCTGTCCTCTAATTAGAAGAACTAAGAGTTTAGATTAAAACCAACTTTACCTTTGGCATCCACTCTAGTATCAGCTTATCTTCAAAGGGGTTCACCTGGCAGGCCCAGGCCCCGGACCCTTCCTTAGCTGGGTTACATTCCCGACATTAGGCTGGAATCATGCCAACTTCTATTTACACTCCCCTCCCTCCCTCCCCCGCCAGCTAGCTTCCCAATTATTTTCCGATTGTACTAGTAGAGCTTTGCCAGGAGAGGGCACCCTTGCCCACATGAAGGTTAGCGTCTGTGGCTTCTTGTCCAGGGGCCAAGGGTAAAAAATACGATTATGATTTTAAAAAATATGGTGTCTATTTTTAACTGCTGAAAGACAGTCTGAATGAAATATATCATTTTAGTATCTAAATCCTGAAAATAATGGAAGAAATTGGCAAATTTTATCCTCAGGGATGGTACTCACCTCTTCCTTCGACACCTCCTGTCAGTTTTAGTGAACTTTTTTTTTTTTTTAAGATTTTATTTTTCCTTTTTTGCTCCAAAGCCCCGAGGTACATAATTGTGTATTTTTAGTTATGGGTCCTTCTAGTTGTGGCATGTGGGACGCCACCTCAGCATGGCTTGAGGAGCGGTGCCATGTCCGCGCCCAGGATTCAAACTGGCGAAACCCTGGGCCACCGAAGCAGAGTGTGTGATCTCAACCACTCGGCCACGGGGTCGGCCCCTAGTGAACTCTTTTTAAAAAAAATGAATTAATTTATTTTTATCGAGATATGTTTGCCATATCACATTGTGTAGGTTTAAGGTGTACAATGTGTTGATTTGACACATTTATATATTGCAATATGATTCCCACCGTAGCAATGGCTAACGTCTCTATCACATCGAATGATTATTTCTTTTTTGTAGTGGGAACAATTAAGATCTAGCTTCTGAGCAACTTTGAAGTTTATAATACAGTATTGTTGCCTATAATCATAACGCTGAGGGAAGTAAGCAGTTTAGTTACTGCTTCCAGAACCCTATGTGCCATATATGCGAGTTATACAAAATTGACATTTAATCTGCACCTAGAGAGAAGTCTAGAAGGACGTTCATCAAAATGTTAAGAGTAGTTTCCACTGGACAGAGAGGTTTAAGGAAATTTAAAAAGAAACTTTCTTATTTGTATTATTCTACATGTTGGAATTAAAACAAAGTATGCATCATATTTACAAAGACGTTAAAGCTATTCCCAAAGATAGGAAACATGAAAAATTAACCTCAGAGCTGATCCTTTGTAATTTTCTTTGTTAACCAAGGAAAGACTCTGATCTGATACTCATTTTGGAGGATAATGACTAGATCACTGAAGGAATGTGTTTTTCACACTGTGGTCCTGGGTTATCTCTATCAGAATGACCTATGATGCTTGTTAACCATACAGAGATCCAGGCCCCCTTCTCCACCACTACCCTATCCCAACCAAACCCAATAAATCAACACCTCTGGGAGTGGGGCCCTCCGTGGTTCCCAAGCACTCCTGGTGAAATCCATGTGTATGGAAGTCTGAGAACCACTGCTTAGGGGAAGAAAGAAGGGAGGATTTGAAAGTTCACCTGTATCATTCATATTTATGTCTATATACAATTCTCTTCCTCTCTATCTCTCCACCCGTTTTCCCACAATCCATAGAAGCTGAGACTGAGATGAGCTAAGGGCATCAAATATCGGGTATTTCAAGGCTTAAAATACTTAGGAAAACCCACACAATAGCTGATATTCATAGCAAACGCCAATCCTTTTGTCTCCATTTCTGTCTCCGCTTACCTGGTACTCGGGTTTTTGATGAAGCCAGTGTTTATGAAATTAGGGCAGAGACACGTTGTTTTGACTCCGGTTCTTTTTAAGGCAGCCAGTTCTTCCGTCAAACCTCTATGAAATCCAACAGCAGCAAACTTGCTCGAACTGCAAATAAACAGAGGTCACCAAATAATTCAAGAAAGCTGCTACATCTATTGACTTCAGACGTCTGTTTTCCTTAGTTAAACGTGGTCCTCTGCCCAGCAGCGTGGGCAGCGCCTGAATCTCAGGGCCCAGTCCAGACCTACTGTCACCGACTAACTGCCCCGAGGAACTCAAGGGTGGGTTCGGAAGCATTTAACTGTTTAAGAGACGCAATCAGCAACCACCCTGAACCAGACCAAGCCCCACCCACCAGAGCAACACGACACACACATGCTTGCGTCTTGTTACTGTAACCTACTGTGTATGTGGAAGCAAGTTTTCCAACTGAGCCTGCCCAAGTGGATGCCCACCTCTGCCTTTTGAATATTCATCCTCCATCCGAAATAAAAGGTCCCTGTTTCCCTTTGTTCAGCGACACCACGATTTTGGAAACGATCCCTCATGGTCTCCTATTTGCTGCAAATATAACCTACTTTGTGTGACAACTACTTGTGGAGAGTCTGGAGGCCATCTCCCTTTGGTTTCGGTAACTACTGAATCAGAATCTGCATTTTAGCCCATCCTCAGGTAACTCTATAGGCATACTGAAGCCTAAAAAGCACAGACATAGAACATTTACTGCATCCCAGCATCATTTATCAGTCCCAGCATCATTCATCAGTGAGAATTGAGTAGGTTTAAATGTTTTGTTAGGAAAATTGTTAGGGTGTTTGTTTCCGTTGTTGCCGTTTCCACAAAATTTAATGTCACTATAGGCTGTTCATTATTTACTATATGTTCACGGAATTTATTGGGAAATTCTCCTGAATAAGTCCTAGTCTTCCTTTAAGTCTCAGCTTGACTTCCTCCAAGAGGCCTTTCCCGAACCCTAGTTTAAATCATTCCTCCATTATATAGTAATCTTCAGTTTTCCAAAATAGCATGCCCCGGATTTGTAATTAAATATTCATGAGGGTGAATTTTTTAATGTCTGTCCCCCATACCTTTCACTTAAGCTCCATGACTGTTTTGGCCTCCAGTGAAGCCCCAGAGCCTAGCCCAGTGTTTGATGTGTAATACGTGCACAATAAATATTTGTCAAATGAATGAATCAAAATGCAAAGCAATTCTTATTGTCATAACTCCTTCATTCAGAAGGAGAAGGGAAATTAATCATACGTCTACATGGACATTACTTCCCCAGTTAGCTTTTTAAAAAAACTGCTTATTGAGGGGCTGGCTGGATGGCACAGCCGTTAAGTTTGCACTTTCTGCTTCTCAGTGGCCCGGGGTTCAGCGGTTTGGATCCCGGGTGCGGACACGGCACTGCTTGGCACACCATGCTGTGGTAGGCGCCCCACATATAAAGTAGAGGAAGATGGGCATGGATGTTAGCTCAGGGCCAGTCTTCCTCAGCAAAAAGAGAAGGTTTGGCAGTAGTTAGCTCAGGGCTAATCTTCCTCAAAAAAAAAAAAAACAACTGCTTTATTGAGATATAAATTCACACATCATATAATTCACCCATTTAAAGTGTACAATTCAATGGTTTTTGGAATATTACATTATTAATTTTTAAAAATTGTGCAAAAATATTTATAACAAAATTTGCCATTTTAACCGTTTTTTTTTTCCTTTTTCTCCCCAAAGCCCCCCAGTACACAGTTGTATATTCTTCGTTGTGGGTCCTTCTAGTTGTGGCGTGTGGGACTCTGCCCAGCATGGTTTGATGAGCAGTGCCATGTCCGCGCTCAGGATTCTAACCAACGAAACACTGGGCCGCCTGCAGCGGAGTGTGCGAACTTAACCACTCGGCCACGGGGCCAGCCCCTTAACCATTTTTAAGTGTACAATTCAGTGGCATTAATTATCAGATTCTTTTTCTATAAGTCTGAATGGATTAGTAATTATACAAAGCAGCTGTAAGTTCTTGCCAATTAACCTGTGCTTTGGAAAATAAAAGGCTGAGGAAATTTTTCTTTCACCTATTTTTTTTTAAAGCTTAGACATATATTGAAGTCTTAAAAGAAACATTGCTAGATTCAATTGTATAAAATGTAAATCTTCTGGGGCCGGCCGGTGGCACAGCGGTTAGGTGCGCAGGTTCCACTTCGGCAGCCCGGGGTTTGCCAGTTCAGCTCCTGGGTGCGGACAAGGCACCGCTTGTTAAGCCATGCTGTGGTAGGCGTCCCACATATAAAGTAGAGGAAGATGGGCATGGATGTTAGCTCAGGGCCAGTCTTCCTCAGCAAAAAGAGTAGGATTGGCAGCAGATGTTAGCTCAGGGCTAGTCTTCCTCAAAAAAACCCACAAAACTTCTGTACATTGAAAAACAACACAAACAAAAATAATCCTATCTAAAATTGATTACTATATGCCAGAGACTGTCCTCAGTTATTCAGATGCATTATTTAATTTAATCCTTACAACAATTCTATGGAATAAATACCGTTATGATCCCGATTTACCAAAAATGAAACGGAGGCCACAGAGGGTTATAGAACTGGCCCAAAGACACAGAACAAAGTGGTAGCATCAGGCTTTAAAGCTGGGCGACAAACCAGGCCTCTAAATGATATAGTCGAAACTTTATTAATTAGCTCCCGACCAAGCTAAGAGACAAGTGACAAACTGGTAAAGCATTTGCAACATATAAGACAAGGATAATGGTTAGTATATGACAACTTTTATAAATGAATAAGACGATACTCTAATGGATAAATGGCTAAGGAACATTAACAGAAAATTTATAAAATAAAAACACCAATAGATATATGCATATAAAATGTTTATATCAAAAGTAATGAACATAAATGTAAAGTAAAACAAGACAGCATTTTTGCCTAGCAGTAATGGTAAGGATATGAGGAAACTTTTGTTTGAGTTGTTTTTCAATGTACAGAATATTTTCATTTCATATAATTGAACTAGCAATCTTTTCTTTCTAAGCCTTCAATACATGTCTAAGCTTGAAAACAAAAGTGAGAGAGAACTTTCCATAGCTTTCTATTTTCCAAAGCACAGGTTAATTGGCAGCCTTTTCTGGAAGGCAATTTGGCAAAAGGTATCAAATTCATTAAAAATATGTCCTGCTCTTAGATCTAGTAATTTCTCCTTTAAGTATTTATACCAAGAAAAAAGTTGACCATGTTTATAAAGATTTATATTCAAAGACAGTCCCTGGGGTCTATAGATCCTGAGGGCAAACAGCTAGAAACAATTCTAAATCTCTGCAGTGGGCGGCTATCGTTTTTGCCCATTGGTGTTCACATTCCCTTGTTCCAGAAGCATCACTGACTTTGTCAGGTAACGCCCCCCTCTCCTCTCCAGACAGTGGCTGGATCCAAGTCGGTCTAGTTAGAGTGAACTCTAGAACTGGAACGTTTAAAGGCATTACTGGGAAGCCATGCCTTTTCCTCCACCTGCTGGATGTGGAGTTCAAAGGCTATTCCAGAACTGCTGGTGGCCATCTACCAACAGAGGAGGACGGTCTGCCTGAGACTTGATTAGAGCCCCAAACTTCCTCTCTAGGTCTGGGGCAGTCTAAGTTTTGCATTCCTTGCAACTGGGAGCGTCCTGACAAATAAATTACCCAACAATAATGGATGAATTGAATAAATAGTGGCACATATGTACAGGGGCATACCATGCAGGAATTGAAAGTGACATTGTACATATATATTTATTAACATGACAAACATCATTTTAAATTAAAAAAGGGCAAGATTATGTATGTAGATTTTTTTTCAATGCATGATTATATATCTGCATTTAAAATGCCCTAAAAAATTACAATATGCTCACCTTGGAGAGAATATCAGTAAATTTTCTTTTTTTCTTTAACTAAACTGTATTTTCTGATTTTTCTTATGTGAACCAAAAGTGCAGAAATATATTAAAACTCAGAGTTAATGATCTTGAGTGTGTTAAAGAAATTTTACAGTTTTGAACTTTAGAGTGGATTTGTTTTTAGACATATATATGAAAGCTAAAAGTGAGTGGATTTTTTTCTGCACTTTGTAACATTACATCAAATTTCTTATTAATAATTTGAGTTAATATTTCTTATTTCAAATTAATCTCTTAAATAACATTTCATTACAAGTTAATGATCACAACTCAATTTTGCCATGTCCTCCCATACTGGTAACTTTTAACACTCAGGAGCCAGAGCATATAGGATTAGTTCCACTGGGGCAGAGAATTCTGGAAGCTAAAATGAGAGGTGGGACCTTCCCATTTTGTGTAATATAGGGAAGTGGAATTGGAATGTAATACCAACAGGCACCCTCCTGTTATTGAATATTTGCAGGATTCCAGGTTCCATGCTAAGTGCCTAACATCATATCATTTAAACTTTACAGCACCCTGATGAGTCAGTTTGTTGCTATTATTAGCCTATTTTATGGATGAAGAAAATGAAGCATAGAGAAGTTGAGTAATTTGCCAAAGGTCATACAAAGTTAGTAAGTGATTGAATAAAGATTCATAACATCATTATTTATAATAATCCTACCTTGGAAATAACCCAAATGTTGATAAATAGTAGGATGGAAAAAGAAATTAATGTCTAGTCACTCGACGTAATACTATACAGGCATGAAAATGATTGAACTACAGCTACCAACAAAAACACAGAAAACTCTCACAAACACAGTGTGATTTCATGTATATAAAGATCAAAAAGAGGCAAAATTAATCTCTGGTGTTACACGTCAGTATAGGTGTTATCTTTGGGAAGGAAAGAGGGAATGGTGGTTGGGAAGAATTCCAAAATGAGCTTCTGGGGTCTTGTTAATGTTCTGTTTTTTGACTGCACGATGGTTAAATAGATGTGTCCACTTTGTGGTAACCCTTTGAGCTGTATGCTTATAATTTCTGCATTTTTATAAATGTATGCTATACTTCAATTAAAAAGTTTATGTTTTAAGAAGCAGTGTCTCAGTTTAGTGGCCCAATTGTTAATAACAACAGCTGATAAAATTGCTTTCTGCTGGGAGAAGCCTTCAGTGTGTCTCTGCGAAAGTCCTACCATTGATGAGATGCTGAGCAAAAACCAGTGAACTGAATTGAAGCTAATTGTGGTCAATCAGGGTCACAGACTGCAGCAGCTCAGGCCAGTGAGAGCTGAGGATCCAAAGAGGAGGTGTGCAAGGGCAAGCAAACCACAGATCTGTCCCAAAGCTGGATGTGTACAAACCACTCGTGTGGTTACAACCCTGCCTATTAGCCCAAATGGCGCCTTTGTGTGAATCAGAGAAAGCCACTCCTCTTCTTAAGCTACTTTACTGCCATCTGCTGGAAAATCTCTTTAATCTCAAAGGTCCCGGACGTGAACACTGCACTCTAGAATTGTGTGGTGCCCAACCTGCATATCTGTGTGTGTCATTCCTCCTTTGATAATGCTCGATGAGAACCCTTCTGCTGAAAGCACCATCAGTAGACACTAAAATAAATTTGTTTCTCACACAAAGCATGCTCTCTCTTGGTTTTCACTGCTAACCACTCAGTGGATTGGAATCAAATCCGAATCAAAAGAGCTACAGTATTTACTATGGCAAGAGAAGGAGGAAGCGTCCTCTTTGCTTAACTCCATGCCTGGAGACTGAGACAGAATCTGGCAGGGAGTGGAGTGTCATGTAACAACCAGGGAGCACACCTGCAACTACCTTTCATCAAGGAAGTGGAATAATGGCAAACTGTATTAGCCCTTGACCACTAAGGGCTCACTGCCAAACTTAAACTGCCTCTGAGAGAGACAATATGCAGCCTGGACACCATAGGTTTGCTCGGTGACCATGTCAGCAGGTATTTCCTCTTTTTTCAGAAACTCCATCCAAGTCTATATTTAATGAATTTATTTTTTTTAAGGCTTCAGTGCATAGTTGTGCGTCCTGGTTGTTAGTTAAGGTCTCTACGTGCCGCCACAGTATGACAACTGACAGGCAGGTGGCGTGGTTCCACGACTGGGAAACGACCCTGGGCTGTGGCGGCGGGAGCACTGAATCTTCACGACTAGGCCACCAGGGCTGGCTCTATATTTATTTTGAAAACTATTAGAAAACAAATAATAGCGTTCAGTAAGAAAGGAAAGAGATAGAGATGAACGAAAAGAACACACAAGTTAGCAAGAATATACACCACGCCATTTTAACTCGACCACACCTACAGATGGCTGTTCTTAGGTAACGGCAAGACGCGTGATTTTTATTTTCTTTTTTTGTTCATCTATGTCTTCTTTCTCTCTTTCTCTTTCTTACTGAACATATATTTATTTTCTAATAGTTTAAAAAATATATAAAGACTTGGATTGAGTTTCTAAAACAAAGATGAAATAACTGCTACAGCAGGACAGAGCAGACCTGTGGTGTCCAGATTGCACACTGTCTCTCTCAGAGCCAGGTGAAGCTTGGCATGAGCCCCCAGCCATCATGGACTAATACAATTTGGCATGTATTCCACTTCCTTGATGAAAGATAGCTGCAGGTGCTGCTGCCAGGCTCATATGCTCATATCTCATATGAAAACAAGCTACCCATCCATGCCTATGTCTATATATTTATACACAAATCTATAGCTATATATACAATTATATGTTGTTTCTAGAATTTATATGCTTAGTTCCAAAAAAGCACAATAGTAGAAAACAAATTTGAGCATTATTCATTTGCATATTTATTTGCACAATCATAATTCAACATTTTAAGAGTTATTATTTGCTAAAATACAGAAATGACCAAGAACTGTTAGGTCGTGTGCAACCAGTAGGATTGCCTTGGCTGCAGTGGCCTCACTGATCCCTTCTTTATAGCATACAGTGGAGCACACCATTACTGTGCCCTGCTTACCACAGTAAGTTCTTCAGTCATTACAGTGCCGTGGGTCCCATCCCCCTACTCCCCCAGGAAGATTAGCCCTGAGCTAACATCTGTTGCCAATCTTCCTTGTTTTTTGCTTGAGGAAGATTAGCCCTGAGCTAACATCTGCTGCCAATCCTCCTCTTTTTGCTGAGGAAGACTGGCCTTGAGCTAACATCCGTGCTCATCTTCCTCTACTCTAGATGTAGGACGCCTGCCACGGCATGGCTTGACAAGCGGTGCATCAGTCTGCACCTGGCATCTGAACCAGCAAACCCTGGGCCACCGAAGCAGAGCATTCGAACTTAACCGCTGTGCCACTAGGCTGGACCCTGACGTGGATTTTTAAGTGGATAACTACTAAAATTTTTTTTACAACAATTCCATTGTTTGGATGATTTTAATGTTTAGAATTCCAGATTATACTATCTCAACATTATTTTGTTTCCACAAAATTCTTTTATTAAAAATTATTAATATGGTACAAAAATATTGCTCTTGTCTCGTAATTCCTTGCTGCTACAAGGGATGCGAAATGCTTTAAGCAGTTGGCTTCTAACTGGATCATTTCCCTGCAGCCACCTCTAGAAAGGTCATCCTCAGAGGGCATCAATGATGACTAATTCTGCTGTACAAGAGACTTGGTGCAACTCTTTCTGCCTATCTCAGCAACTTCAAGTCTATCATCATTTAATGGGAGTTCTCATCAGGGTAAGAAATCACACATAAGTTAAACGTAGGAACCAACGAAGGAAACACATGTTTACATACCAATAAGCCAGTAAGAAGGGGACCACAGTATGCCCGGCTGCTGAAGCCACAGTGACAATATGGCCATGATTGTTATTCATCATCGCTGGAAGAAATGCCTTTGCAGTCTAGAAATAGTTTTTATTAAAAAAGAAAAGAATGTTGTTATTTCTGATTTGCAAACCTATTGGAAATATTTCTAACCAAAGGTGTATTTTGTTAACATCGCTCTTGGCATAAACGAAAAAACCGAAATTATTTGCCAAATGCAGTAACATAAGGCAAGTGGATAGGGTGCCCAGATTTAAAAAACTAAGCAAAACAATGGATACTGGAAGCTCTGAAAATCATGCCATTTAAATTGTTAACTTCTCAAGTCCCCAGATCCTCCACTTTTTGTCACTGATGTCTTTTATCATCTCATATATTGAGTAGGTATAATAAAGTTATGAAAAAGATTTACATTTAATGTGAAATTGTTAGAAAACAGTTTCTTTATGTCACCAAAATACTGAAGTGAATGGCAATCTTCCAGTAGTCACGGAATAATTCAAGCAATAAATATTTATTGAACACCTACTATTTGCTGGGGATTCAGAAACAAATAAGACAATACCCTACATTTTAACAGAGGTGGAAAGACAGGCAAACTTGTAAGCCAAAAAATATACAAAGATGGATGTCAATAACTTGGGAATAATAACATAAAACAATACTGCATTTTCACCAACCTCAATATTCTTTTGAGATTACTCATTCCGAATTCACATCCAAGAAAACTATGAGGGACTCTTAGGAACTGGCGATTTGGGCAATACTTAGACTATTCAAAAACTCTCATTATCTTGCTTTATATATTATTTGAGACTTTGAATGGTGAGGCTCATAATAAAGTTTGCAATTTGGGGGCCAGAAAATAACACAAGGCTTGAGTCTCATGATAATCTAAAAGTCAACTGGGGTCACCTCGGATAGCATCACAGAAGATGACTCAGATGATCCCTAATCCCTTCTTTCATCTCTAAGTAGGATCACACAGAGATGTGAGGATCTAGCTGAGAATTAAAACATACATAACACCTGAAGTTCATTATTATTATTATTAATTATTATTATTAACATTTTTTGAGAGAGGAGGAAGAATGATTGGTGGGATTTGGTTGTAGTACAAAAAATGATCTCTGTGTAGAACGTTATTCCTGGTACCTGGAGAAAACTCTGTATGGATTTAGTATTGATCAATCCAAAACTTAGTATTGATTTGATATGTCCTTATGTCTGCTGAAAGCTCTACTTTAATCTTTGGGCTTTAGAAAAGGGAACGTTTTTGTAAAAGAAATCCTACTTACCCAGAAATGTGCAAGTGTATTAACTTCAAAAGTCTTTTCAATCTGAGGGTCTTGTGTAGCAAACAGATCTGATGTGTAGACGACACCAGCATTATTTACTAAAATACTAACATCTCCTATTTCTGCCTTCACCTTTAAAAACAAAATAAGAAAAATCTGTATTATTAAGAGGTATGAGAGTAGGTTTGCATGCAATGACTATTACAAAAGTATGTGTTTTTCTATTAGATACGGGGAAAAAGTAGTTACATAATCTATATGCCAACACACACAAAAAAACCTTTTAATTTTAGGTGCTTAATTTCAAAATAGGCCTGCTTGCAAGTCTACTGGCAGAAATATTCTTTCGTTTAATCTCTGGACTTTGCTCTATTGATTACATCTCAAGAGGCATTTGGTTAACAAAAATATAACTGGTGACAAAAAAGCAGCAGTATTTTTTAAATACTACTTTAAAAGGTAAGCAAGAAAAAAAATTAATGGGCAAATGCAGGGACTATTATGGGGAACTATGTGAAACTGATTATACAATTCAACTGGCCATACCTTCTATTTCTTTATTTGTGTGATCACTTCATCTATTGCTCACCAACCTGTCTCCACCAAGTGACAGCAGACTTAGGGCCTAGTAACGCAAGAACCATCTCACTTGATATTTTTACGGTTCTTCGAGTAACTAGGCTTCTCAGTGGATGGACTTTAGAGTTACAGTGCATTTTGTTATACATTGTGTTCCAAATAAAAGCTAGCTTCTACTAATAGAGTTACCATTATGTAGATAGCGTTGCCTGCGTTGGGGGACTGAGGGGAAGGTGGCAAATAGCCTATTAAAGCCCTTCATTGTTCTATGCAGTTTACACAATTTCGTTATTGATCTCACTTAATTCGCCCAGCAATTCTATGAGGTAGCAACTCTTACTATGCTCATTTTAAAGATGAGAAATGTGAAACATAGAATGGCTGTCTCTTGCCTAAGGTCACAAGGCTTCAATATGAAAGATCACCTGGAGCTGGGACTCTCCCAGATCCTCTGGTCAGAGCCCAAGACAGACCTCAAACCTCAAAGAGAAAGCACGCCAGGGCAGGGTCCAGCGACAGCCCAGCAGGACGCCAGTGTGCCACCGCTGGAGGCTCATCAGCCAGAACTGAATTTCATCAGGTTCTATTTAGATTATTAACGTCAAGCTAAGTTATCTGGCCCTTGATGAACTCTATTTGTAACTATATCCACATGTCTAGTACAACATGAAAACTGTTGTTCAGAATAATGCCCCTAAGTTATTGAGAAAAACAGGGCATTTTATATGGCTGAATTGATAAAGTTGCCGTAATGTCTCCAAATTAATGTGACTCAAAATATAAATTACTGTTTTATATTGACCCTTCCTTCAACCTTGAGCTCCCCGTCATCACCTATTGTCTCTCCAGGGTGTAAATGTCTGCTTTGCACATTTCTTAATAACGAAAGCAATCCGAGAGTTTAATTGCTTAGGTGCATAAAATTGTCCTGATACCAAAATAGCCATATCAAAATAGCTACTTCAAAATGTCTGATAATCATGTGTTATTGCATGTACTCTGTTTAAGCATATAGTTTACCTTAGAACAACGTCAGTAAAAACACTGGTTGAAATACATGGGGTAAGTCCAAATAATAAAATTATCTTTGCCAGAAAAGCCTCTTCCCGGATGAGTCTGGAGATGAATGTTTTCCTTCTAGGTAACTAAGGATGCTGGGCTAGTAAATTCCATTAATAATGGTTAATAACAAAATTATACAGACAATATTGGTGTTTCTATTATAGTACTAATAACTAATTCTTAGAAAGTGACTACTGAGTGCCTGGTGCTGTTCTAAGAACTGAACATGACTAGGGGCTGGCCCCGTGGCCGAGTGGTTAAGTTCGCGCGCTCCGCTGCAGGCGGCCCAGTGTTTCATCGGTTCGAATCCTGGGCGCGGACATGGCACTGCTCGTCAGACCACGCTGAGGCAGCGTCCCACATGCCACAACTAGAGGAACCCACAACGAAGAATACACAACTATGTACCGGGGGGCTTTGGGGAGAAAAAGGAAAAAATAAAATCTTTAAAAAAAAAAAAAAAAAAAGAACTGAACATGACTAACTCAACCCTCATAACAACCCTATGAGGTAATACTGCGTTAACTCCCATTTTATAATTGAAAGTTAGGCACAGAGAGGTTATGTAACTTGCCCAAGGTGATATAGCTCGTATTAACCAGAGAGCGCTCATCTCTACGAGGGAGACTCATTGTCTCCTTAAGTAAAGTTAAGTAAAAGTTAAGTAAAATACTTATTGCTAAATGCAGATGTTTCTGACCTATAGGCCTTGCTCTTACTGTAACTGCCTTCAGGAAAGCCATTTCCCACCAGTGGCCTTGGTAAGTTCTAACTTTCTTTTGACTTAGCTCAAGTCTCATCAATAATAAAGAGGCATCAGTTTGAAACAGAAGATTACAATCTAAAAATAGAAGTTAAAAATATCCCCAAATCTAAAATTTCCTAAGCAAGTCTGGTTGAACCGGAATCCTTACACCAGACTGAATCAGAATGTCCAGGAGAGAGGGCCAGGACTGTGTATTTTAAAGAATTTGCCCAGCTAAGTCTAAGAACCTTCCTGCTATTATAGTATTTAGGTAACAAGTACATGCATGAATGCCTTCAGAGTGAAACCCCATTATATATAGCACATCTCATCTGTATATAGAAGAGGCAAATCATGCTTCATAGAAATAGATCTACCTACCATTAAAGCCTGATAGGGGCTGGCCTGCTGGCGCAGTGGTTAAGTGCGCATGTTCCACTTCGGCAGCCCGGGGTTCGTTTGGATCCTGGGTGCGGACATGGCACTGCTTGGCAAGCCATGCTGTGGTAGGTGCCCCACGTATAATGTAGAGGAAGATGGGCACAGATGTTAGCTCAGGGCCAGTCTTCCTCAGCAAAAAGAGGAGGATTGGCGGCAGATGTTAGCTCAGGGCTAATCCTCCTTAAAAAATAAATAAATAAATAGAGCCTGATAAACAGGTTTTCCTAACTTCCTAATTCAGTTCTTTCACTGGGCTTCAGAAAACTCTGCCAGTGATTCTGCAGTGTCATCCAAGGATTCACTTGCATCAGAATCAGATGGGCTGCCGCGGGGCGAAGCCTACCCAGTGCCTGCCAGGCCAGAGTCCAGTCTCAGCTGGAGCAGTTGCCAGCGGCCCTGCTAGGAGTGGAAGTGCTGCCCCGCGCACCCCCAGCCCCAGTGGTCATCTCCCAGGCCGGCCCTGCCGAGCTCCGCCCCGACGCTGCCTGCGCTCCCCGCTGCCGCCCCTGCCCCAGCCCACGCAGGGTTGGGGGCCCCTGTGGCCAAGCACCAGGAGCAGCCTGCCCTTATCCCTCCTTAACCACTCCCTGCCCAACTGGCTCTGACATTCCAGAAGCAGCCTTGAACTGACGTTTGAAGGTCCAGGTGGCAGCTGCAACCCATCTCTGAGCTGCCTCCTGAGCCCTGGGCCCTGGGCGCTAGGTCCCCTTAGGGTATCTGGCCTTGGCAGGTTGGAGACGTCAGAGGGGAGAAAGGTCCTGAGCGTCTGAGAAAGGCCTCAGGAGGGTCTGCATTGTGATGACCTCATCCACTCTATGACATCATCCTCTCTCCCACCCTCTACTCCTCCCCAATCAACTGCTCTGCAAACAACCATCAGTCTGAATCCCAGTGGCCTAAGAAAGTATTTTCTCCACTAGCTGCTGCTGATCTGTCTTAGCCAGCAAGAAGTACCATGAAACGGGACTTCACCGAGAAAAGCTACGACAGCTTCATGCTGCAGAAACTGAACGAACAGAGGCGATGCAGAGAGTACTGGGACACGGCCCTGACTGCGGACCACCATATCCTCTTTGCATATCACAATGTGCTGGCTGCTGTCTCTCCAGTAGCGAAGGGACTCATCTCTAGTGGTGATGTGAAGACCACCGGTGAGCTCTTTATCACCGTTGACCCCAACTACCTGAGTCTGGCCACGGTGGACCAGCTCCTGGACTACTTCTGTGGTGGCAAGGTGGTGATCTTAGAGCAGAATGCGGAGGAGCTCCTTCGTGAGGCCCAGTATTTCAACACAACACACCTTAGAATCCACTGCAATGACTTCCTCATTAAGTCCATTAACCCTGTCAACTGCTGGCGCTACCTCATCTTGGCTGAGACGTTTGCGCTCAAAGAGTTATTGGACTTGGCCTGCTCTGGCATTTGCGACAACCTCCACCACTGGGCCAATCCTAAGGGCTTCACGCAGCCTGATGACTTCATGTGCTGTCCACCTGTCATCTTCGGCCACCTGCTTCAAAGATGAAAACCTGCACGCGCTCAACAAGGACCAGGCTCTCAGCGCACTCATAAATTGGGTATACTTCTGGAAGGATAAGCAGGAGAAGTATTTCATGAAGTTCTTCTATTATATCAATTTCAGTGCCATCTCCAACAAGACGCTGATGTTTGCCAGCAACAAGCTGAGGGGCATGGAGCACAACGCAGCCCACACAACCCTGATTGAGTCTTTGTGGAGTGAAAGCAGGAGAGGCCATCCAGCCTGCTGAGCTACCAGCAGGAAGGGGCCCTGCTTGATTCAGTGGTCATCCTAGGTGGCCAAAAGGCTCAAGGCAAGTTCAACGATGGAGTGCTGGCCTATACCATCCCCAAGAACCTGTGGCTGAAGCTCTCAGAGATGCCCCATGAGGCAGCAGCACTTAGTGCCGCCTCTGCTGGTCACTACATCTACATCTCTGGTGGCACCACTCACCAGATTTCAGGGCTGATGACAGCTTGGTGGTATGACATGGGTGACAACTCCTGGAGCAAGTTGCCTGACCTGCCAATTGGGCTTGTCTTCCACACTATGGTGACTTACCGGGGGACAGTGTACTCAGTGGGTGGGAGCATTGCCCCAAGGCAGTATGTCTCTAATATCTATGGGTATGATGAGTGCAAGAAGGCCTGGTGCCTTCCTGGGAAGATGAGCAGCCCTATGGATGCCACAGCTGTGATTACCAAGAGGACCAGAACATGTACATTGTCACCTGGCAGTGCTTGGTGAAGTGCTCCAGAGTATCACCTTCCCCATTAAATTCAACCACTGGCCCCTGCTCTCTTTTTATAAAGACAACATCCTCTGTGTGCACAGCCATTGGCAGAAATCAACCTGCAGAAGATAAAGGCCAACAAGACAACCATCCCTCTGCCTCTCTTGCCCAACAACTGCCCTTTGGATGAGTCCCATGCTACATGCTCCACTGGAGAGGGCAGGGTGTGGGGGTGTCACCACAGCCAGCGATGTCAGAAAAAGGACTCCACCTTCAATCCAAAGGCCTACTTGCTGGACCAAAAGACAGGCAAGTGCAAGACCCTGGCCACCCCACCGGAGGCACTGGACTGTCCCGCCTGCTGTCTAGTCAAGCTACCTTGCAGGATTCTTCAAAGGAATTAAATCACTTTTTAGTTGGGAGAATTAAAAAAAAAGAAAAGAAACAGATGGGTGAGGTGTGGGTGCATAGGGTACAAACATGCAGATTCCTGGGACCAGCCCTCGACCTACTGAAGAAAAACCTCTACAGTGCTTATTTATTTATTTATTTTTGGTGAGGAAGATTCACCTTGAGCTAACATCCATGCCAATCTTCCTCTATTTTGTATGTGGGAGGCCTCCACAGCATGGCTGATGAGTGGAGTATGTCCACACCCAGGATTAGAACTCACAAACCCTGGCCGCTGAAGAGGTGCGCGTGGAACTTTGATCACTTGGCCACAGGGCCAGCCCCAACTGGGTGCTTATTTTTTAACCAGCTCCCTAAAAGATTCAAGAACACACTGAAGTCTGGGCCTCAGTTCTAGGTTCTCGTTCTGGGTCTGCCCCTAGCTGGTGATCACAAAACTTCTGTTGCTTTCTCTGCATCATGACTGGTCATGTCCAGAATCCCTCCCAGCTCTGACATAATATGATTCTAACCAAATGTAAGATCCCACCTTCTTCGCAGTGCTGTAAATATCTTCTCGGTTGCTGCAGTCCACCACGAAGGCATGCGCCCTTGCGCCCAGTCTCCTGCATTCAGCGGCTGTTTCTTCAATTCCATGCTAGGAAAAGCAACAAAGAGGGTGAGGAGAACAAAATAAGTGACATAAGCACATTACATCAACAGCTGAAAATAATTAAAGGAAGTCAGATTCTTGGAACTAGAATTGGGCAAGAATTGAACCGAAACATATTTCTGACCAGGATTTAGACACACTCCACCCTCAGTACTCTGACTAGCTTCTGTTATTTGGAACTGAATTTAAAGTAAGCTTTTCAAAAGAAGACAGAAGTCTTAAAATACTTGTTTTATATTCAAGAATTTTACATACTTTTTGAGTGTATGTATATATGTGTGTGTATTCTCTTTCAGGCTTTAAAAAATAACATCAAGCTTTTTTTCCATGTCACTAAAAGATAATCATGGACATCAATTTTCTGGCTGCAAAAATAAATAATAATAAGCTCAGAGATAAATAATAATGAGATGAATAAGCTCAGAAAGGTCATACTGTAGTAGAAAGAAACATAAAATAAGTGAAATAGTTAGGGAGGACCGTATGAAATTGTTATTGTTTTAGAATAAAGGATTGGATATTGGCAGTTTTGTATGGTTCAAACTAATACACTATGGTAAGTATAATAGAGCTATATTCAGGGGCCAGCCTGGTGGTGCAGTGGTTATGTTTGCATGTTCCACTTTGGTGGCCTAGGGTTCACTGGTTTGGGTCCCAGGTGCTGAGCTAGGCACTGCTTGTCAAGCCATGCTGTGGCAGCATCCCATATATAAAGTAGAGGAAGATGGGCACATATAAAGTAGAGGAAGATGGGCACGGATATTAGCTCAGGGCCAGTCTTCCTCAGCAAAAAAGAGGAGGATTGGCAGCGGATGTTAGCTCAGGGCTAATCTTCCTCAAAAAAAAAAAAAAAAATAGAGCTCTATTCAGAGAGTTATGGAAACACAGGGGAGGGGCATGTAATACAATTCGAGAAGAGGCACCTGAATTGGGTCTTGAGGGTGGATAGAACAGGCAGGTAAAGAGAGGGGAAAGGGCACACCAGGCAGAGTGTAAGCAAAAGGCCGGATAGGAGAAAGGTTCTGTGCAGAAGCTCTAGCAGATTGGTGCTGCTGAGTCACAAAGTTCAAGGTCAGCAGGAGTACAGATTAAAGGGCATTATACGTCATATTAAGTTTTGTCCAAAAAGTTAGTGGGGAGCTACTGACTGAATTACAGGATCAGACTTGTGTATTATATTCATTACTCTTGCTAATGTATAAAGAGCAGATTTTAGGGGTCAACACTAGAGGAAGAGAGAAAAATTAAGAGGCAGTTACAGTGATTCAGGCAAGAAATAATACCAGCTTGAACTGTGGCACTAGCACAAAGAATGTAGAGAAGAAAGCAATCTTCAAAATATAGTCATGCGCCTCATGAGGATGTTTCGGTCAACAGTGGACCCCATGTCCGATGGTGGGCCCATAACAGTAGTACCACATAGCCTAGGTGTGTAGTGGGCTAGACCATCCAAGTTTGTGTAAGTACACTCTGTGATGCTCAGACAACGACAAAATGGCCTAATGACACATTTCTCAGCTATCTCCGACGCATGACTGTAGTCCATCTTTAGGAGGCAAAAGCAGCAGGATTCGATGACCGCGTGAGGAAGCTGGGAAGGAACCAAAGCTGGCATCCTCGGTTTTCAGTTTTGGTTACTGGAAACATGGTGCTGCAAGAAATCAGACGGAGATCACAAGGAGAGAGCAGATTTGAGAAAAGGAATGAAGAGCCCAATCTGGGGCATTGATTTTGAGTCACCTTAAATTCAGGGTCAGACCATGGCATTCTGTTTTTGGTTTTTGTTTCTATTTTTCCTGGTTTGCTGCCTTGCTTTTGACCAATTTTGTAGCTTTTTTATTTTAAAGAATGTCTCAAATGATACCTTGGATTGAGCTTTAGTATGTGAACTCTGCAAGCCAAGAAATTATGTCAGTTAATGCACAAGTGGAAAAACTTACTACATTTACACTCGTGTGCAAATTTGCTACAAACAGCAATTACGTTTGTAGAAAAACCAAGCCTGAACAGCTATGGAAAGAATTAGCAGTTTGCATAATGAGCTTATTGTGGCAGTAAAAGGAAATGGTGTTTTCCCTCTACTGGAATCTCCCACTGAAACTGTAGCACACTCTGATGAGGAGCCCTTATTCCCCAAAGGACAAGAAAACATCTCAGGGGGACCTTTTGCTGCTCTCCTGGACTCAACAGGCAGCTTTTAGCACTTTCCTTTAAAAGCATATATATACAGGCTTGTGAAATTTCAGTTGTAGATTATTTTTTAGTCATATTATAGGTGTACCACTTCACCCTTTGTGCACATGCCCACCTCCTCTTTCCCCCAGTAACCACTAACCTGTTCTCTTTGTTCATGTGTTTATCTTCCACATATGAGTGAAATCACATGGTGTTCGTCTTTCTCTGTCTGGCTTATTTTGCTTAACATAATACCCTCAAGGTCCATCCATGTTGTTGTGAATGGGACAATTTTATCCTTTTTTACAGCTGAGTAGTATTCCATTGTGTATATATACCATATCTTCTTTATCCAATCATCAGTCGATGGGCACTTGGGTTGCTTCCAAGTCTTGGCTATTATAAATAATGCTGCAATGAACATAGGGGTGCATGGGTCTCTTTGAATTGCCGATTTCAAGTAGTTTGGATAGATACCCAGTAGTAGGATGGATGGGTCATATGGTATTTCTATTTTTAATTTTTTGAGAAATCTCCATACTGTTTTCCATCATGGCTGCACAAGTTTGCATTCCCACCAGCAGTGTATCAGGGTTCCTTTTTCTCCACAACCTCTCCAACATCTGTCATTTTTTATCTTGGTTAGTTTAGCCATTCTAACGTGTGTAAGGTGATATCTTAGAGTAGTTTTGATTTGCATTTCCCTGATAATCAGTGATGATGAGCACATGTGCCTACTGGCCATCCGTATATCTTCTTGGGAGAAATGTTTGCTTGTATCCTCTGCCCATTTTTTGATCAGGTTGTTCGACTTTTTGTTGTTGAGTTGCATGAGTTCTTTATATATTATGGAGATTAACCCTTTGTCAGATATATGATTTGCAAATATTTTTTCCCAGTTCGTGGGTTGTTTTTTTGTTTCAATCCTGTTTTCCCTTGCCTTGTAGAAGCCCTTTAGTCTGATGAAGTCCCATTTGTTTATTCTTTCTATTGTTTCCCTTGTCCAAGAAGACATGGTGTCCGAAAAGATCCTTTTAAGACTGATGTCAAAGAGTGTACTTGCCTATATTTTCTTCTAGAAGCCTTATGGTTTCAGGTCTTACCTTTAGGTCTTTGATCCATTCTGAGTTTATTTTGGTGAATGGTGAAAAAGAATGGTCAATTTTCAATCTTTTACATGTGGCTGTCCAGTTTTCCCAGCACCATTTGTTAAAGAGACTTTCTTTTCTCCATTGTAGGCCCTCAGCTCCTTTGTCGAAGATTAGCTGTCCATAGATGTGTGGTTTTATTTCTGGGCTTTCAATTCTGTTCCATTGATCTGTGCACCTGTTTTTGTACCAGTACCATGCTGTTTTGATTACTGTAGCTTTGTAGTATGTTTTGAAGTCAGGGATTGTGATGTCTCCAGCTTTGTTCTTTTTTCTCAGGATTACTTTAGCAATTTGGGGTCTTTTGTTGCCCCATACGAATTTTAGGATTCTTTGTTCTATTTATGTGAAGAATATCATTGGGATTCTGATTGGGATGGCATTGAATCTGTAGATTGCTTTAGGTAGTATGGACATTTTAACTATGTTTATTCTTCTAATCCATGTGCATGGGATGTCTTTCCATCTCTTTCTGTCATCATCAATATGTTTCAGGAAAGCCTTGTAGTTTTCATTATATAGGTCTTTCACTTCCTTGCTTAAGTTTATTCCAAGATATTTTATTCTTTTTGTTGTGGTTGTGAATGGGATTGTGTTCTCGAGTTCTCTTTCTGTTAGTTCATTATTAGAGTATAGAAATGCTACTGATTTACATACATGATTTTGTACCCTGCAACTTTGCTGTAATTGTTGATTACTTCTAGTAGCTTTCTGATGGATTTTTTTAGGGTTTTCTATATATAAGATCATGTTGTCTGCAAATAGTGAGAGTTTCACTTTTTCATTGCCTATTTGGATTCCTTTTATTTCTTTTTCCTGCCTAATTGCTCTGGCCAAAACCGCCAGTGCTATGTTGAATAGGAGTGGTGAGAGTGGGCACACTGGTCTTGTTCCTGTTCTCAGATGGATGGCTTTCAGTTCCTTTAAAAGTATGTTTTATTAATAGTATATATGATGGAATATTATTCAGCCTTCAAAAGGAATAAAATTCTCACACATGCTACAACATGGATGAACCTTGAGGATGTGAAGCTAAGTGAGATAAGCCAGACACAAAAGGACAGATAGTGCATAATGCCAGTCATATGAGCTACCTAGAGTGGTCAAATTCAGAGACAGAAAGTAGAATGGTGGTTGTCGGGCTGGGGAAGAGGGGAATGGGGAGTACTTGTTCAATGAGTACAGAGTTTCAGCTTGGAATGAAGAAAAATTTCTGGAGATGGATAATAGAGATCATTGCATAACATTGTGAATGTACTACTGCCACTGAACTGTTGAACTGCTGAACTGCCACTTAAAATTGGTTAAAATGGAAAATTTCATGTTATATATATTTTATCACCATAAAAAAGATTTTCAAAAGTCTATTATATTGAGGGGCTGGCCCCATGGCCAAGTGGTTAAGCTCGTGTGCTCCGCTGCAGGCCCAGTGTTTCGTTGGTTCAAATCCTGGGTGCGGGCATGGCACTGCTCATCAAACCATGCTGAGGCAGCGTCCCACATGCCACAACTAGAAGGACCCACAATGAAGGATATACAACTATGTACCAGGGGGCTTTGGGGAGAAAAAGGAAAAAAATAAAAAAAATCTTTAAAAAAAAGTATATTATATTGATTTTTTGGGTCTTCTCAAATTTTAATCGTGGACTCCCCTTTAGTCTT